CCAATCACCTATTAACGGGCCTGCAGTTCGTTCTATTTTTGGAACTGGGCCGGTTAAAATCCTATTGGCCCCTAAATCTTCCATGCTGCTATGATGATAAAAAAATTTCAGGCAAAAAATGGAAACAGCTGAGCAGTGTCCTCTCCAAGGGAACATAAACAGGACACACTCACCAGCAGTTCCTTCCCCTGAAGGAAAAGTTCTCCAGCACTCACAGAGCGGTCGGCTGGAGCCCGACCCACTGCCCTGCCTTCTGGAGAGGATGCGGCTCTTCCAGCAAGCAGGAAGGGCGGGGTCGTGGGAAATCCAATCTAAAGGGCGAGGAAGCGGCAGGGAGGGGTGTCTGCACCCCAGGGTCAGAAATGTCTCTACCACGGTAACCTTTAGAAGCCCCTGCTCCATCTCCACATGATTTCCTCTGTGTCTTCTTTAACTTGGCCGTTGCATGCTTTTATGATGGAGATGGACCTGTGGCCGGTGGCTCCCATGGGACAAAGTCCCATTTCTTAGTCTGGGGCCTAAGACCCTCGAGGATGCCCCAGTCCCTGTGGGGCGACCCAGGCCTCCCTCTCCCTAAGTCCACTGCACTCTAGGTGGGACACCTTTCCCTCCTTGGCATTCCCCACTGATCTGTGCCCCTTCTCTCACTGCTCCTGCACCCCGTTAGGGTCGTGAACTTGGCATGTGTGCCTTTACCACCAAGCACAGACCCCTTTAGGCAGGGCCTGCTCTAGTCAGTGAGGCTGTCCCACTGTGGGGTAGGTACCCGATCCCTGTGTGTGGCCTGCAGCTGGATACCCAGACACACATTTGTCTCTGCATCTGAAAATTCGCCATTAAACATTTTTATTTGGGGGTCGAACAATTTTAAAGCACAAATCACTCAAGAAGGGTCAGCATGTCAACTAGCCAATCCTCTTCCTCTTTGGTGAGAGTGAGTGGGTGCTTGAGGTGTGGGTGAGGAGTGACCCAACTGGAAGCATTTTACCAGCTAACCATCCCGAGGGCCAACTGCCCAGGACCCTTCCTGGGCCCACTCCGGGCTGCTCTGCCCCAGCCGGCCCTCACCGGGAACCGGGGTGCTGGCGTGGGAGTCTGAGCCAGCATTGTCGTTCCGGCACCCCTGAGTCCTGGGGCGCCTGTTCTGCTCCCGCGAAGGGCTCCCACAGACTCACCTGCGCCTGGGGAGGAAGAGGCTCCTCCCACTGGTCTCTTGGTCCCGAGAAGCTGTGTGACCTCCAAAAACCCACCCGTCTTTCTGAGCCTCTGTTTCTACGGGTCTGAAGGGGGGACGAGGCCGGCCACTGTGAGGGCTACTGAGAGGGTAAAGGGCATACAGGGGCAGGAAGCTGGGTTTCACATGGGTGTGCCAGTTCCCTTTCCTTCTTCCAGCCTCCGTCCCTCCTCCCTCCTCCCTCCTCTCACTCCCCTCCTCCTTTCCTCTTCTCTCACTCCCCTCATTCTTCCCCAGAGTTCTTGGAGCTTGGAGGTGTGGTTTGTGCTTAGTTATGCATAGGTTCCCCCTCTGCCCCCAACATCCATTGCAGGCATGCCGCTCTGAGACTTCAGTGCGCTGTCAGGAGATTTCAGACGAGGAAAGTGTGCTTCCTGGCCTGAGGGGAGGGGCACCATTTGTTTGCACACTAGTGTGTACTGTGTGCCTGTGTGTGTGTGGTATGTGTGGTGTGTGTGTATGCATGCTCCTGTAGGAATGAGCACACATCACTAAGTTGCTTTCCTGGCTGGCTCGCTGGCCTCACCTCTGCAGCAGCAGGGACAGCGCCCTCCTGTGGCATTGGGACTGGTCAGCCCAGCCCCGTGGTGTCCGCGGCACACGGCATCTGCCAGTGTGCGGCCTGGGACCCAGTTGGCTGGAGCTGGCTGTTATTCCTTAGGTTCTCCAGGACAAAGGGCAGGCCAGGGGATGAGGACCAGGGCAGGTGAGGGCGGAGGTGAGGGCACAGAGCCCGCCTCCTGGCCGGTGCTCAGCGGCAACCAGTGCAGAGGCTGCTGACCAGCAGAGGGAGGGAGAGTGGCCGGCGCTTCTCTTCCCTCACACGCACCTGCCAGGGCTCCGGGCTCACCCTCTCCCAGAGCCTCTGGGAAGCAGCCGCGCCTGCACGTGGGTTCCCGTGCACTAGGCAGTGACTGTGCTTACACCCTGAAGACGAGGCCACAGGCCCAATGTTCTTCAAACCAAAGACGTCACAGAGGAAGCAATGTTAGAAGTCGTCCAGTGCTTCCCAAACATGTTCTGGGAATTGTTGGCGCATGAAAATGCAGTAGGAATTCTGGGGAGAAATGGGGTCTCTGGCCAAACCCATTTGGGGAAACTGCGTTCCCTTTCCTGCCCTCACACCTGGGTCAAGGCACACACCGGGCACTGAAGATGTGGACACTGAATGTGTGGGCACTGAAGGTGTGGGCACTGAAGGTGTGGGCACTGAATGTATGGGCATTGAATGTGTGGACACTAAACATGTGGGCACTGAACATGTGAACTGAAATATAGTGGCAACCATACTTCGGTAAAAACTATTTAAATTTTAAACCTGCTAAGGCAATTTTCCTGTGCCTGGGAGCATACCCTTTGGAGATTAACCACTGAGTTCTGCTTCTGCAAGATAGGGCCACATTCCATGTCCAGCAGGATGTGACTGGGGACGACCCTGCAGGCTGACCCCAGTTTTTAGAATATAGTCTTTAGAATTTAGAACAAAGGAAAATTCCTGTAGTTTGAACTGTTGCAGAGTTTCCGAGCGGTTGGACGGTGCAGGGGGAGAGTTTGGAGAGACTTGTTTTGTTCATTGCATGATGGGCTTGGGGAGGATGAGTTCAAATTCTAAGCAAGGTTACAGGCAGAACTTCCTTTTTTTAATTTTTTATTAAAGAGCCAGCCCTATGTGCACTTAGTGGTTATCTCGATGCTGGCCTTGAAAACAATACAGTTCTATCCAATTGAGAAGGTGCACCTGGCATGGTATTGAGATTATGGGCATATTTGGTCTCTGGCCTACAAGGTCAGACGGCTGGGTTTATCTTCATCATTCTTCAAACGGGCTAAAGCAACATTTTACCTAGGAAGAACAGCAGAAGATTCCAGACAACAGTTTGTTACAAAATAGGGGTTTTCCTTCTCAGAACCTTTAAAAAGAACTACCTGCCCCTGAAGCCCTGCAGTCGTGTAGAGTCCACCTGCGTGTGGTGCTCTTGTGGCTGTCCTGGCCAGATAGTTCAATAAATCTTTGCCTGCTTTTTAAAATAAATCATCAGCCTCCAGTGGTCTTATTTTGAACCCAGGGTTCGACCCCACAATATGAACACTGAGCATGTGGGCACTGAACGTGTGGGCACTGAACATGTGGGCACTGAACGTGTGGGCACTGAACATGTGGGCACTGAACATGTGGGCACTGAATGTGTGGGCACTGAACGTGTGGGCATTAAACATGTGGGCACTGAATGTGTGGGCACTGAACGTGTGGGCACTAAACGTGAACCCTGAACATGTGGGCACTAAACATGTGAACACTGAATGTGTGGGCACTGAATGTGTGGGCATTAAACATGCTGGCAGCTTCACTCGGCTCAATATGCCATTTCCCAAACCTGTGTGCCCGGGCACACCTGTGTGGCCGTCTGGCACCTGGTGCCATGGTGTTCTATGGGGCACAGTTTGGGACAGAGAACTAGCCAACCCTCCTTTCACAGCCGAGGCGGTGGAGGGCCAGGTGCTCTGGCCACCCGGGAGCGGCTGCACTGGGGGCCAGGGTCCTCTCTTCTCTGCCTCTCCCCCACAGCCGTAGCTTCAGCTGTTTGTGGTGCCGCTCCCCATTAGCTGCTGGGGAGAGTGCCTGGGACCTCAGCTGCCCTGGTGCCGCCCTCGGGCCCCGGAGCTCCCGGTAGCCAGGGGGCAGTCTTAGACGGAGCCCCTGGGTTCGGGTGACTGCCGAGCTGCTGGGGTCTCAGAGGGATTCCTGTGGGAGAGGGTGGTTAGGATTCACTTCCTTTCCCGCGCCCATTGTAAGCTATGATTGCTGTTCAGGAGCATTGAGAGGCGGTGCAAGGAGGCACTTTAGTTAACTTGTCTGTACATATCGCACCCGGCACCACGTGGGGCCAGGACCCCGCACCCAGCATGTGGCATGTCTGTCACAGTCCTCAGCCCCTGGAGGGACAAGAACGGTGAGGCCAGAGGTCAAGCGAGCCGACCACGTTCTGGGGCCAGGAAAGGGGAGCGGGGCGCAAACCCAGGAGCTTGTGCCGGGAGGACGGTTCGCTCAGGGCTACAGCCGTGTTTCCTAGGCCCGCTTCAGAGAAGAGGGCGTCAGCCAGGCGTTCCACCTCGGCTTTGTTTCTGAAGCTGGGGCCGCTTGGGAAAGGAATGCAGGTGACTGGCCCCTCCCGCCTGTGGCCCAGGAGCTGGGCCTGTGTGTGCTGGGGCTGCAGAGCAGCTGGGAGAGAGTGCCCAGCCCTGTGCACCCGCTGGCACTCAGGCTCCGACAGGGGCACAGTCACGCAGTGAAAAGCCGCCACGGGTGGCATCTCGCTTCCCCAGACAGTGATGCTCACGCTGTGTGACTCTGGAAGCTCAGGTACGTCTCAAATTTATTTCCTATCACTGAGAGGTGGATCAATGGGAGACAAAGGTGCTTCAGCTCAGTCACCTGCTGCTCCCCCGAATGTCAAGGACTGACATCGGATGCCACGGTCCCCGTCAGCACGGCCTGACTCTTCTCGCTTCCCCAGCCCCCACCCCACTCACACCCAGCAGGGATGTGCCCTGATGACAATGGCACTGCGCAGAGGGCCCCGAATGTCCCCTATAGACACAGGCTGGCATCTGAGGTCCCCCCGGGAGGGGCTCCCTGCTGGCTCTTCCCCTCCTCCCAGGGCCTCAGCCCAGGGTTCTCAGGGGCTGCTCGGTGGTCTGCTTGGAGGCACGGGTGGCGGCGTGAGGTCCGGGAGCAGGAGGAGGTGGGGGAGGGGAGTGTGGTGCCTCAGATGAAGTACTCCTTTCTGCTGCTGTCCCCAGCGTCCTGCAGCGACGGGTCGCCCTGCAGGGCCGCGTCCGCGCTCTCGGCAAACTCCGTGCCCTTGTCCTCGTGCGTGCGGTACGTGCCCTTGTGCCGGTACGCGTAGTGCAGGATGAGCAGGAGCAGGCCCACCAGGAAGACGGCCACGGCGGTGATCACTCCTGCAGGGCGGACACAGCTGTCAGAGCAGCGCTGAGGTCCCGACACGGTCCGGGCAGGACCGAGCTGGCCGTTCCCGCCACTCTCCTCCCTGCCCTGTGCGCTTACCCCTCCCCTGTGCCCATCTGAGTTGCCCCTCTCTCCTCCCCCACCCGCCCCTTCTGGGCACTTTGCAGACCTGGGGGCGTGGTTTGTAATTCCTGTAAAGCAACTCAGCGGGTTTGCCTGAAGGGGAGCGGTTCAGGGGATCAGAACTTTCCGTTTTAAACCAGGGCTTCTGGGTCTGAGACTTATGAGGCCCTGAAACCGTGGAGCTGGCTGCCTGCCGTGCACCAGGGGCGAGGGGTATGGCCAAGGGGATGGACCCTGTGGGCTGGGTCTCCGGGACACTTGGGGGAAGTGGGGTTTCAGTGCTCCAGGCCCCGCCCACATCCCCTGAGCCCCTGGGAGGTGGGACCTGGGAAGTCTGCAGGGAGCAGGGGCTGTCCAAGCAAAAGCCAGAAGGGGCGGGGTCTTGGGGGACATGCGGGGTGTGGACCTCATTTGGAACCAGGAGGGGAGAGATGAGGTTTGAGGGCTGGTCAGCAGAGCCAGGTCACAGGGGGGCGCGAGGTGACAGGTGAGCAGGGCTATGGGGCCCCGGGGCTATGAGTAGCCTCTGCTTGGCCTCAGAGGCAGGTTCACCCGTGCATCTTGGATGTTAGAGGCTACAGGAGGTTCCCGCCTGAGGAACAGCATCCTAACCGTCCTGCCGCCGTGGACAGCACTGCCGTGCGAGGTGCTGACCGCGCTGTCCACGGAGCGGGAGGGCCAGGGCCAGAGGCTACTGGAACTGAGAGCAGCACGAGGGCGGCCTTCCCGTCTGCCTACCTAGCCACCCCCCGAGCTGTCCCCGAGCGGGAGATGGGAGTGTCAGGAGGAAACAGCAGGCTGCACCTCCCAAACCCAGGCCTCCTGAAGCGGTTTGGGGTCACAACCGTGCCCAGTGGGTCACTTTTTTAAGGATGGAGGGTCGGGGTGTGGGCCCAGGACAAGGACTGGGGAGACGAGGGCACAGAGAAGAGTTCGGGGAGCCCTGTCCACCAGCACCCCCCGCCCCTAGACTAGCTGTGTCCAGCCCCTGATCTCCGCGACTCCAGGGCCCTGTGAGCACCCTGCCACCGTGCCCTCTCCTCCTCGCCACCGGACACCGGTTGGACACTTTCTGATGGGCCAGGCTCTCCCAGTCCCCCCGCAGAGCCCCGGGGAGAGGGAGAGCACTGCCTGGCCCAAACCCTCAGCTGGTTCTCCTGCAGACGCCGTCTCCGGCCCTCCTGCCACGGGGAGGGCCGGGGCCACTCACCTGCCATGATGGCTATGTCCATTTTAGTCCACGCCAAACCGGGCCCGGGCCCTGTGAACAGAACAGAGGAGCCCAAATTGAGAGAGGAAGGTTCCCCCCCCAGCGGCGTCTCAGCCCAGCCGCACCCTCTGCCCACAGCTCTGTGAATGGCCGAGCGGACTGGAGACAGCATGTTGCACGGGCCTCTGGCCAGGGGCGCCCGGAGCCATGCCAGGCTCTGCTTGGCCACTGACGGGGCTGGTCAGCACAGCAGGAGCCATTGAGCCAGACCCAGGGAGGGCACCTCCGGGCTGCGTGTGAGGTTGTGTCTCTCACTGCAAGGGTGCCTGCGCCTGCCCATGCTCAGTGCTCATCTCAGGGCACGGAGGTTGGCCCCTGCTGAATTCGGCACTTCACCACCTCAGCTGTTCTCACAGTGAGGTCAAACCAGACCATCTGCGGCGTGTCCGCCCGCGGACAGCTCGCCTGCACCGGGGCCCTTGAGCTGCTTTCTGTTTGTATATAATGTGCTCCTCACCGCGGTCCCACGCACATGTGGTCTATGAACCCATTTCCCAGGGAGGACACCGAGGCTCAGAAAGTGACCTGCCCATGCTTGCACAGCTCGTCCAGTGGCAGCCGGGACTGTGGCTCCAGCGGCAGCCTGGGCACAGGATCCTGGGGGAGGGGTCGCTGTTTCTCGGGTGCTGACAGAGAGCAGTGGTCAGGCCTGGCCCCAAGGACACAGGCTGACCCTTCCCTTGTGTTTCTATCCTCACCGCCCCCTGCAAATGGCTTTCCTTGGGCCTCAGGGCCGGCGGAGAAAGCGCCCACTCCCCTTTCCCAGCCCCGGGTCCTGAGCCAGGGCGAAGGCTCTGCAGCGAGGGCTTGGGGGTGAGAGTGAGGAGGCCTCAGTGAAGAGGTGTGGTGTCCTGGGGAGAAGACGCCTACTAGCCTGGAAACCATGAAGGCAAACGCAGGGCTGCGGCGAGCCCTCGGAGAGTGCCCGCCATGATGGTGTCCAGGAGGGCTGTGGGCGGCCACCTGTCCGAGGGGCTCTGGGGGAAGGGCCCGCAGCTGGCGACGCCTGGGGGTCTGTGTGCTCAGGAGGAGCACGGCTCTGGGGGCCGGGCCGGGAAAGTCCTCCTGGGCTCTCATGGAGTTTCTCCTTCCTGCTCTTGATTTTGGCCTTGAAGTTCTTATGAAAGTGAAGTAGAAATCACTTGACATTTGAAGTTTATTAACTGGCTTTTCTTCTTGGTAGATAAAAGGTCAAGTTCATTTTCTTTTCTTGCATGGTTTGTTGTTAGCATGCCCAGAAAAGAGGTAGCATTCAAGCTGCAACTGGGGAAATCGGCCTCAGGCTATAATGGTCCCAAAGAGAGAGGCAAAAGGCTATTGTCCAGCCCGGCCACCTCTCCGGAACGAGCAGGGCTCACGTGCCCGCCCCAGGCTCTGGGACAGGCAGAGGATGCTCTGTCCTCAGGCAGCTATGACAGTGGAAGGGACCCAGCGTGCTTATGTGAACGGCTGAACTGCCAGCACGCCTTCCCTGTGTGATAAGGTGCCCAAGGATCTGACAGAGCTCCCTGGGTTGCGGGGGTCTCACCACCAGCCTGGGCTCAGCTGGCCCGGGCTCTGGGCAGTGAGGAGGCTCCCCATTGTGTGTGTCCTGTGTCCGGCGGCTTCTCAGCACCTTCTCCGCCCAGCAATGTGCACCCGTGGCCAGCAACGGCCCTGCCTTCGGGGGCTCACTGTGAGGCAGACAGAGACCCAGATATCTGTGGGGAAGCTCAGAGGGGAATGTTCTCAGGAGAGGAAGGCTTCTCGGAGGAGAAGGTCCCAGGCTGCCTGCTGAGGGCTGGGGTCAGCAATGCCAGCAGGAGAGCCGGGAAGCGTGTTCAGAGGACGTGGAGGAGCCCTTAGGGGAGTGGTGGGCAGGGCTCTGGGCCTCACTGACGTGTGCCTGGTCACCCCTGCGGGGCTGGGCTCCAGGCCGGGCTGGCTGGGCGCCGGGGAGCTGACCCATGTGCACCCTCCCCCGGCCACCCACCCTCCCTTCGGTGAAAGCATGTGCCGCTACCTGGTTTGCTGGCTGAATTCACAGGGCCAGGGAATTGGACCGCCTTGGGCAGCGTGTGCCTTCCAGTCTCAAGGTCAAATGCTTGCCCTCATCATCTCTCTGTGTCCCTTTGTAACCCACCTTCCCGTCTCCGGGACCGCCCCAGTGCTGTGCTACGCAATGCAATGCAATGCTGCTCTGACACCATGCAGAGCCCTCCCTAGCCGCCCCGTCTTCCCTGCCGCCATGCCTGCAGCTACTGTGCGAGCAGGACCGGTGTCCGGCAGGCTACCAGCCACCCCCGCCGAGGCCGTTAGGCCAGGTGGCAGGAGACATGCCTCTCCGCTCCGGGGCAGAGAGCATCCGGCAGGGGCAGTGGGGGAGGCGGGCACTCGGCACTGAGGAGTGGACTGTGGGCAGTGCCAGCGAGGGACCCTCTTCCCCGCGCACCTGGGCCCTGCTCAGGGGGTTTGCACATCAGGGCGATTGTTCTGGGCATGGGGCTGGGTGGAGGGGAACTGGAAAGAAAGGTGAGGATGTGTGGTCACAGCCCGAGTGTCAGGGTCCAGGTTTCTGCACCTACATCTCCTTGGTTTTGTCCTGAACGTTTTTTGTTTTTTTAAACTGAGCCTTATTTAAACCCAGGGAGCAGACTGCCTCAGTTTAGCCACAGGGTCTACTAGGAAGTAAAGGAAGGAATGCTTGTTCTCCCATTCTTGTCCAGAGTATGAAACAGTGGGGCCGGGCGGCATTTGAAGCCTGTGCTGAACTATGGCTAAGGAAGAACAGATGAACGGATTTGCCTTCACTGAGCACAAGACACAAGGCCTAAGGAGCAAGAATTAAATGCCCTGAGCGGCCTCCTCAGGTGGCACGAGCTCCACCTTCCCCAGCTCGAGGTGAATTATGTCTTTGATGTCAGGAACTTATTTGGCAAGTTACCTCCACTCTGGAGCCCCCTCTCCTCCTGTGCAAACAGAGAAAAAAGCCTCCAGCCTCGCAGGGTCCCCGAGGGCTAGCCCTGAAGGCACTGTGCTCCAACCTGGGTGGCATCAGAATGACCTGGGAACATGTGTGCGCGCGCACTAGTGTGCGTGAGTGTGTGCACGCGAGTGTGCGTGAGGTGTGTTTCCAGCCACAGTCAGCTGTTTGGATAAAGGTGCACAGGAGGAGAGAGATGCATTTGCTTATCCAAGCCTGGGCCATGAGGAGAGAAGGAGAAATGGTTAAGTGAGTTCAACTACTTTCTCCCCCCCCACCCCCCTCACACACACACACACACACACACACACACACACACACTGGGGAGATCCCAGAAAACAAAGAGCTGCACGCTGGTCCTCCTGCAGGTGGCAACGAGGAGAGACCCCTGAGCTGTGTGGCTCTGGACAGTGCTCAGACACAGGGACTGGGTGGGCGCTGTGCGAGTTGTCTGTGTGCTCTTCCCTCCCACCCATCCAGTTCACAGAACACGCCACCTGCTTATTGCAGGGCTAAAGTCACCGACATCGAGGCCACCGGAGCCTGACATGTGAGCTGTCTGTCCCTTCCCACTGCCTCTGTGTTTCGGGGCAGGGCAGCCACTCTGGCCGCAGGGCTGTTGGTCCTTCTGCTAAAGACCTAGTCCAAGTTCCAGAAGCTCGGGACTCTCGCAGCTGTCATCTCAAGCCTCCTCTAAGCTGCTCTGGTGTTTCTCACGTGTGGGCAGCTGGAGGAAGCTCCCAGCAGGCAGTGGCGCTTCGCCCTGCCACAGGGATCTGGGCCTTTGCAACTCCCGATCAGCCATCGAGTTCTAGTGACATCACCTCCTCCAAGAGGCCTTCCCTGACTTGTGCAAAGGTTCTTCCCATATTCTTTCAGGAGCAGCAAGTGTTTCACAAATAATGTAGGCTTTACAGGTCACATATGGTCTCTGATGTATATTGTTCTTTGTTTAACTGTTGGTTTGTCTTATACCCTTTAGAAATGTAAACAACATTCTTAGCTAGATGACTGTACCAAAGTCAACTAGCTAAGATTTAGTCTGTAGACTGCAGTTTGCTGAGCAAGTTGTTCAAATCACCATTAAAATGCTTTGCTAAAATGCTTTTTAGCTCCTACAGGTCAGGGACTGAACTTTATGTCTCAACACCTGACATGATGCTAGGGGCATGAGCTAGTGATGCGGGATAAAAGCCCTCTGACATGTCCCAATTACTCTTTCAGCATTATTCTTCTCTAGACACCTCCATCTCTCAAGATAAATAAATCACAGCCCCACGACTTTCCAAGTCATCGTTAGATGGTCACGTCTCAGAGGTACACTGAGCTCTCAGTGAGGTCAATGGCTCTCGCTCATTAAGCCTCATATGCAGCAGGTCTACTTAGAATCCCAAGGACACAGAGGTAAAGCTGACATCATGTGTGTGTTGTGTGTATGTGTGCATGCATATAAATGTGTGTGCATGCACACAAGCCTGTGCATGTGTGCTCATACATGTGATTCAAGTGCACACCACTCGACCTCTGTGTAGCCAGGGTCTCACTGCCATGCCTTCTGTGGTCCCTGTTCTCCAGCGGGATCACGTGGGTAAAGCCTGACCACTGCTCTGGAGGCGGGAATTCACTTAAACAATCATATAATTGCATTTTCAGCACCATTAGGTACCTAATTACATGACTAACTGTCCTCGATCAGGCTCACGTGTAAATAATGATGATTTAATTAGCCACGCTCTGTTATTGGATTTCCAGAAGGCTCATCAGTTGGCAAACAGGAGACAGAAAATGTTTTCGCCTTCCTTCAAGTTTGACAGGCAGGCTCCGCAGAGCCCCGTGTCCTGCTGGGAGGCCAGCGTGGTGGTGAGGGAGCGGTGGGGTTCTGAGCCTCTGGGAGCCCTGGGAGGACTGAGAGTTTGCATCCTGAAGACACAGCAGCAGGGCGTGCCCAGGGGAGGCCGTGACCGGAGACAACGGCACCTCCTGTTTAGGAAGGACGGGGAAGGCCCTGGCCGGGAGAGCCACCGGGCAG